AGCTGTGCCTCACCAGTGCCCAGCACAGGGACACAATCACTTCCCTGGTCCTACTGGCCACACTAGCGCTGATCCAGGCCAGGATGCCCTTGACTTTCTTGGCCACCTGGGCACCCTGCTCGCATCCCTCATGTCTCCCATTCAGGCCTCATCCCACACCCGTGATGTGCCATGTGCTGAGGGCTCCATTCTGAATTGCCCCAGCCCTGGGGGTGATCCCCGAGCCCCCTGGTCTCCCCAAGGGGTAATGCTGGCACCAACCCTGCACATGTCCTCTCCATGGGGTGGCTTCCCACCGCTCACTGCCTGACCCATTTTTGAGTGTTGGAAAATGATGAAGAAAGAAAAAAAAGACAAAAAAAAAGACAAAATGAGCTGTAGTCTCTGCCCGTCTCGATGGGCCAGGAGTCAGCCTGGGGCAGACGCTGTTGCTGGCACGGGATTGCCAGAGGATGCAGAAAACCAGCCTGTGCTTCTCCTCCTTCTTTTTGCAGCTAATCAGTGTATTTCCATTTCTCCTGCTGTTCCTCAATATCTGGTTTTTCTAACCGACTGAGGATGTTTTATTCCTCCCTCCCAGTGAATTATCTCCTGGAGGGAAGGTGTAGTATAGAATCCATATCGCAGGTGGATAAGAAGCTGGCAGTGGACTCCAGGGGGTATTAAATGAAATGCCAGGGGCTGGGGCTGGAGCTGGGGCCAGCCCAGCAAAAATTGCTCGCTCGGTTCCCTGTGGCCGTTCTTATGCTGGTGTTTGTTTCTTTTCAACAGGCCCCCAAGGAGACCCTGGCCAAAGCTGTGCTGGCAGAGCTGCCCCAGCAAGTCGTGCAGTACTTCAAGCACCAAAACCTGCCACCCATCAACTCGGAGCCAGCGTAGAGCTGTGCCAGGCTGTGCCCTCTGCATGTTGCCAAAACCTGTTGGTCCTACCGAAAGCGCATGTTCCACATGCTTTTAAGAGAAGAAAACCCTCTTTGAAACACTTTGTACTTCTTAATTTAATTGCTAAGTTCTTAAAACTCATCCCAGAGAAGCATTTGGATTCATTTTGTACAGTCCCAGCCCGAGGTAACACTATGGGGCCAGGCCGTGCCCTGGTCCTGCGCTGTTGAGTCACTTCTCAGTATTGAATGTACTTTGTATAATTTCAGTGGAACAGGATACAATTTTTACAATCAAAACTTGCTTTTTCCAAGCAATGAAATGCTTGATATATTATTATCATTCAATGAACTGGCCATTGTATAGTTCATGTATCTGTGTTGTACCCATACCTCTGTCACGCTCTATGTTCATTTTTATACTGTGTACATGTTATATTTGTTATACTCAGGTTAATAAAGAAACTTGGACATTTAAAACAAGGGTCTCCTCTTCTCCAGGCTGAACAATCCCTTTAGATCAGACTTTAGATCAGCTGCAGGCCCTCAACAGCAGCAGGGTGGTGGGTGAAGGTGGAGGTGAAGATGGATGTCCCAGGGAGAAGAGCAGCCCCTCACTCCCCCTCGTCAGCTCTCAGCACCTGCCTGCGCCCAGGACAGGTTTGTGTGCACGTAGGTGTGTGCTGGGGAAAACACAACAAACTGGCAAAGGCAGTTTCGTGGTTCACCGCTGCTTCCCGACAGAGAGTTTTTTCCAAGTCTGAGGAACAAAAGCTCCTTGGTGCCCGGAGGAGATGGGCTGGGTAATGAAATCCTGCTCTCCAGCAGCTCCTTTGAGCTGCTCATCAGCAGCATGTATCTTCAGCGCTAATTGCTGCTTTCTTCTGTTGTTAACTAGATTAAGGACTTTTAAAGCTGACAGGTAGAAAGCTGAGTGTACTGCAGGGATCACCACCCTTCCTTCAAACTCCACTCAAACCCCCTTCTCCCCCTTAGCAGAAGCGCTTGCGGGGGGAGGTTGGCTTCCACCTGTGCCGGCTGCCACCAACCACGGGTAGCAAACGCTGGGTTGTCACTGCTGCCCCCGAGTCTCCAGCACACAGGCTGCCCAGTGCAGTCCCATGGCTCAGCCAAAGCCTGGAGCCAAAGCTGATGGTGAGGTCCCAAGTCAGCTCTGAGCGTGGATCTGGGTGAGGCCCCATCTCTCAGGAGAGCTGTGACTGCTCCATGAAATATTTTTACCTTGCAAAGCCCCCGGGAAAGGAAAAACACCAACCAACACCACTGTTTTCCAAATGGAGAAGCAGCTTTTGAAGGGTGGCTCGTTTGAAAATAATGCTGTATACAGCTCAGCTTCCAGATCAAAGTCTGTGGCTCTGGAAATTTTATTTTTTTTTCTTTCCATAAGAGAAGCTCCCATGCAGCAGCACCAGCTCTTCTGCTAGCAGTGCTTGTGGAGGTTTGCAGGTTTGGGGCTTTTTTAACATCTCTCTGAACCTTTAATAACTAGCACAGACAAGAAGCAGTTTATGAAGCTGTCCCTGGGGAGGGGATAAAGCATACACTATGCAGTCATGGCAAAGACAGAACAGTCTTAAAAAAATAAAAATAATTAAAAAAAAACCAACCACCCCAACCTAAATCCACCACTAAATGACAGAGTTGCTGGAGCCAGCCGTTCTTCTCCAGCATGTCACCCCTGAGGCGAGGTTAGTGCCACAGCTGCCATTTCCAGAAAGTCTGATTTATCCTCAATCCCTTGCACTCCTCGTGTCCCAGCACGTCTCTCAGCGTGCTCAAGTATTTTAACATCGGATGCCTTTTGACTACGAGAAAGTACACGGGACCAGCGGATGAAGTGACAAGCTGGGACAGCTCTGCACTTTGTTTACGTGGGCCAGGCCAGGAGAACAGCAGAGGTGACTCAGACTTGCGTGAGCTAAAGGCGTTCCCCAAACACCCTATTCCTGCTCTGCTGGGAACAAGAGGAAAGCAGGGGGCTCTCATGCCTACATCTCCTCCTGGCCTTGCATTGTCCAACACAACCACCAGCACCCCTCCTGGTCTCACTTGCAGCTCCCACAGACCACCAGCACCACGATGTCTATCTGCAGCTGGCTGCCAAATCCCACTATAAATTTCTGCCTAAATCAGCCATTTTGACTGCAGTTATGCAAAATAACACTCAGGAAAATGGCCCCAGCATGCTCACAGCCAGGCCAGGCTGTTCTGACTCTATAGAGATTATTGCCCCAGCTTAATGCCGGGGAGGGACACCCACATCTCTCACTCCAACTGCTCATGACTCCTGCAAATGCAACTTTCAAGAAAAACAGGCATTTTTTTTTTTGCACACCGCTTCCATTTCACTCCATAGCTAAGTACGATAAAAGTCATCAAAAGCAAAGCATTAGGGAGGCAGCAAAAGATCTAGCTATTTTCCACCTGAAAGCACCATAATTAGAGTAGCTGAAGAAGAGGCAGGACCAACTCTGGAGCAAACACAAGAGGAGCCAAGCAGCCTAGAAGAACAGGGAGCAATTACAGTGTGTTTGTAAAGATCTGATTGTGGAACAGGGCTGTGCAAACAGAAAGAATATTTGGCTAAGGATAACTTCAGCACGAGCACCAATCTCCCTGTTTCCTTTGGGAAAGTTCAACACTCAAGCTACGGCATGAATCCTATTAAAGGCCTTGGGTCTTCACCGCTTTTATCCCAGCTGCTCTCTTACAAGTTGCTCAGCATCACGTTCAGATAACTGCCCTTTGGGATGCACATATCGGCTGTTTTCTCAGAAGCAGAGTGTTGTACACAGAGCAGGACTGCTGTGGGGGAGACTGTCACAAAGACATTTCCAACTCTGAGCCATCAAGCTGAGCTGTTCCAACCCACCGACCTCCCGTTAGCACTGTTTGCACTCAGATGAAAAGGAGGGACCCTCAGCTTTCACAGCCAGCTTCTCACCCATGCCTGGCTCCCTGGTCCACACCACCCATAAACACGCCCGTGCACGGTTTCTTAAATCAAGATGACTTCAAAAACCACTGCAAAGGATGGTGGAGTTCTCCAGCTTCTGCACAAAGAGGTTTAGCTGAACCAGGGCATCCCACCCACTCTGGATTCATGCTCTTCAGGACACTGCTGCAGAAAACCTGAATGACCTGTCAAGTGCTGCTGCGAGAGCAACAGCCTTTGAGCAGAACAGCCAATTGCAGCTCCTCTGAACTCACTCAGAACAAGTCTTCCATCACCCCTGCATTTGTAGGAGGCTGGCTTGCACTTCTCCTGGATGGAGCTTTGAGGAGGGGGCTGGTTGGGTAGAGCAGAAATTGCTTAATGGAATGGGAACAATTATGAATGGCACAAGCAGAGATAAAAAAATGCATTCAGAATGTCTTTAATCGTGTAACACTAAAACTTCTTTACAGTGTCATGGCAATCTACACTTCACCATCTGCTTGATTTTTGTTCTGCCCCCATTTCTCAAATACAGAATAAAAATGACATTTTAAAACAGAACACATGGCTGTTTCTACAAGACTTCACTGCTTTAAGAGAGTATTTTTTGCCTGTTTGTCTTGTATAAACTTCTTAGATCAACAGAATTCTTTCTTTCCGTAATAATTTTAAAAGATAAAGCTCCCTCCTCCCTACCCTCAGACCTTCATCCCTTCCTAGGTTTGCCTTCTGGTTTAGGATGGCAGCCTTTTTTCCAGGCTCAGTATGTACCCCAGAAATGGAAAGTTGGGGAGGGGAAAAAAAAAAAAAAAAAAAAAAAAAGATATAATGAGTTGTTTGAAGAGTATCTTGAGTGTATTAAAGTTGAGAGGTTAGCTAGAAAGATTATATTTGGGGCAGAAGGATGCTTCAAGCATCCATCAGGGCTCTGGAAGATATTCTGCACTACATTACACATGGAGGGGTTTTGTTATGGACCATCAAAGAAACTGTTGCTGCGAAAGACAGAGGAGACGATCTTTCCAGTGGAATTAATGGTGCCTTCGCTATCCGAGCTGGACTCCGAATCGCTGCTTCCCGAGTAGGCGCCCAGGCCAGGCAGGATCCCAATGCACACGGCTGCTGAGGGGCAGTGGACCGTGGAGCCTCCCACCGAGCTGCTCCCCAAAGAAACAGAGGATGGTTTTTCTGAAAGAGAGGTACCTCAGTCAAAAACAGGAGTAGAGGAAAGGGCTTTTCATCAGCCCAGCAGCTGCCACGTGTCATTCACCTGCTACTGCCACATCAGCGGTGGATGATTGCAGGATTTAATTAAAGCATAAGGCAGCTTTATGCTGCAATAGAGCTCTTCTGACAGGAAGGACTTGCTACCTTGGGATTTTTTTTTCCTCATCACTAGTTTAAGCCTAGCTCTACGCTGGCATTACAGATTTTTATTCTTAAGTTGTCAATTTGATGCTTGTCAAATACCAAACCCACTAAATTAAGAATAAATAGCTCTGCCTTGTGTAATTTAATTTTTTTTTTTTGTGATATAACAGCATAGTTGAGGAAAAGTTCTATTCCATCGCTCTGCTAGTCAACGTCTCCCATCTTCCATGGCTAATTAATTATTTCCAGTGTTCTGAAAGTTTACTGAACAGAAGGAGATTCAGGGAGCGCCTTCAGTTGTCATTACACAATTACAACAGCTCACCCTGTTTGTGTCTGAGGATCCTGACAGCAAGTCAATTGCAGCTCTGACAGCTAAGACTGAAATCCAACTTAATTTTTCTTCTAGTTCCACACAATTTTCTGAATCAAATTGGTTTCAGAATGGACAAGATCACTTCATAGCATGAAAAACTAATAGTGGAGGTATACAAATACATCAAATGCTGCTGTGAAGAGGAAAGGGATGGTCTGTTCTCCATGTCTCCTGTTGACAGGACAAGCACTAGGCTCAAAATGCAGCTATGGAGACTCCTATTAGCTATCAGGTAAAACTCTTTAAGGGTAAAGTCAGTTAAGCATTAGCATGAACTGCCTAAGGAGGGTGCACAATCTCTGTCTGTGGAGATTTAAGAGCAGCTTAGACAAACATCTGTCAGGAATGGTTTAGGCAGGGGATAGACTGATGACCTGGAGAGGTTCCCTCCAGCCCTGTTCTCTATGCAGGCTGTCAGCGCCTATCGTTACCATTCCTACTGCTTTAAGAGAGTCCATGCCAACCGCAGTCTGTGCTGTCTTGCATAATGAAGGAGCAGAAAAGCAAATCCTCTATCAGATTTAACACCAAGTCAGTTGCTGTTCAGGTGAGAGACAGACAGCTTCCCACATGCAGAAATCAGGACATACCTTGATTCTTTTCGTCATGATCAGTATCTAGTTTCAACCTCTTCATGCTGTTACCACCATCTGAACTGTAGAAAAAATAAGAAAGTGTCTTGTTCCTCACAAGCAACCACTTAATTACTGTGAAGCTGAAGTCCCATCTTTGCCTCAAACACTACAGTGAATGCCAGCAGGGTGCCCTGATGACCATCACCACTTCTAACTGCTGTTAACTGGGACTCCTGGGGGAATTTGCAAGATCCTAGAAAGAGTCAACACCTACACTGCAAGTATCACCTGTTAACCTGGGAAACAGAAATATGCTTCTGGGAATCCAAGTCAGACCTGTTACACAGTGACCCTGAGCTGCCCATTCAGCTGGAAGTACTCCATGGGAGATCAGGAATGACTACCTGAGCTTCAGCCACCCCACAGGACCACAGGCTTGCACATGTGGATGATTACCACCCTTGATGATGCAACATTGGTGTCTTTCCCCTTCCAGGGTTTCCTCCTCCTCCCTCAAGCACCTGGAGAGCCTGTTCTAAAACATCCAGAAATCTTGAACACAGTAAGAAACCCAGGAGGCTTTACAGCAATTCACAAACAGCTGCAGTGTCTGAACTAAAAAAGAAAAGGTTCTTTTTGGGTCCAAAGTGGTGCTGGGGGAAAGGAGCTTTACTTGGACTTCTGACTCTTCCAAACTTCTATAGCTCTTCCTTGTCCCTGCTCAGTTTCTTTTTTCCCCTCTGGCATGTTCCCAGTCCTAAACCATCCACATAAACAAATGCTTCCCAGCTTCAGCTGAGATGAACTAAAGTGATGAAGCAGGAGCATTTTTATGCATTAACTCTTTTCTGTCCCCGTCAGAACATGCAGTACAGACAAAAGGTTATTCTGTACGGGGAGGGTTTCACAGTAAGACATCCTTTAAAGGACACTACAAAGCTCAGAGAGCAGATGTTGAACTCATGCTACACTTGGTTTTGGACAGTTTGCAATAAAAAATAAGATGGCAAAAATAGAAGATTGCAAAGCAAGCCTGAGATGGCACTGACACGTCAGTTAAGATACTCTCTTCAAAGAGATGCCATCTGCAGACTTTAGATCTGCCATTAAGCACGTGCCAGCTCCTTCTCTACACCCTGCTGGGTTAAGTACTGGTAGTTACAAGAAAAAACCATTGTTGGCTGCTTGTTGTCAGTTTAGGGTTTCTCTTCTCTGTCCTCCAAAAACCCAAACAACTATCAAACCCCACACACATTAGGTGGTAGAAGTGCTTACTTCAGTTTCCAGACATGCAATTACTGCTGTACTGGGAGCTAAACATCACCCTACAAGATAAAGCTTCTAAAATAATCTCGCTGGGACAGATTCAAAAACACTGACTGAATTTCTAGATGTCAGAATCACAGAATTCAGAATCACAGAATGGCCTTGACTGGAAAAGCCCTTTAAGATCATTGAGTCCAGTCATGAATCCCACACTGACGAGTCCCCGACGAACCCATGTGCCTCAGCACTGTGTCTACACCACTCTTCAATCCCTCCAGGGATGGGGACTCCACCACTGCCCTGGGCAACCCCTTCCAATGCCTCAGAACCCTTTCAGCAAAGAAATTCTTCCTCCCATCCCATCTCAACTGCCCTGGCCACAACTGGAGCCCATTTCCTCTTGTCCTGTCCCTTGCTCCTTGGTTGAACAGACCCACCCCCACCTCTCTCCACCCTCCTCCAAGGGACTTGGACAGAGCCACAAGGTCTCCCCTCAGCCTCCTTTTCTCCAGGCTCAACACCCCCAGTTCCCTCAGCCACAAGGGAACTCAGCACACTTGTGCTCCAGACCCTTCCCCAGCTCCGTTCCCTTCTCTGGACACGCTCCAGCACCTCCATGTCCTTCTTGGAGTGAGGGGCCCAACACTGAACCCAGCACTTGAGGTGCAGCCTCACCAGTGCCCAGTCCAGGGGAAAGAGAACTTCTCTGGTCCTACTGGCCACACTAGTGCTGATCCAGGCCAGGCTGCTGTTGGCCTTCTTGGCCACCTGAGTACTCTGCTGACTCATGTTCAGCCATGTCAGTAATAATATTAAATATTAGACCACTCATCTGTGGGAAATAAGCCTAGTTCCACACACCTAGTTTCTCCGTAACATGTAGCACACCAGCAGCTGCTTTTGCAGGTCAAGATCAAAACAGCAAACAGATCACAAACCCAGCTGCCATCTCCTTGGGATGGAAAGGATGTTGATGTATCAGTGCAAATCATCAAGGGACAAAGGAAGTTTGCCTGATGCCCTCGGGATGAAACTGGTACACAAAGCTCTTCTCTTGTAACCTGTATCTCTCCTGTGCTGCCCCCAGTAGCAATCAAAACAACCATTTCAGACACAGATAAAATCAACTGATAAATTACGCAAACCTGAATGAAATTACATGAGTGAGGTGATGCTGACATCTACAAATAGAGATGTAAAAAGGATTCCCTGTAGATCCCCAAGCAGGATTGCCCAAGCCTGGTAGTCTAGAATGAAGAGTCTACCCACTTGCTTTACACATGCTTATCTATTTGAATTGCTTCATGTTTTTCCCACAGTTTGTGAGAGCCTATAGAAACAAGGCTGGTCTTTTCTTTTACATCCCTCCTTTTTTCTTTAGGGCTTAAGGTTCACACCTCACTCTCTGGAGGCAGTTTTGGCCTGCCTCCCTTTACACTGCTAACTGGGTTCCGTTCCTCATGAATTTATAGAGGTGTGAAACTAACCTTCTGTGTTTCACAGCTCCTGCCAACAGCTTTGCCTGAGAGAATTTGTTCTTGTTTTCCACTGACTTCATGGGCAATTTCTTCTCAGTTTCCTTCTTTGGGTCCATACTGACTCCCACTTTGGTGAGAGTGCTGTGAATTAAGGGTTAAGGATCAACCGCGAAGGAACAGAGAGAATAGACACTTCCTCTCCGATATATTTAGCCAGTTCTGCTGACAGCAACAACAAAAGTTCATTCACATATTCTATCAAAATAAACTTATTTGTAATGACATTTATCTGGCACCTTCAGTCAAGACAGAAGAAACATCTCCCTCTGGGTTTGGAGCTCTCTTGGATATCAATACCAGCTCTCCCTGTGAAGATGTCCAGGCAGCAGACCAGGAGCTCTTTTTCTGAAGTCAGAAAGGCACAACACACGACACGTCCAGCACCCATAAACACACCCATCACCCTGCCTTTTCCTGAAGGTCTTGGAAAATAAAAAAAGGTCAGACTGGACAAAAAAAACCAAAAAACAAACCAAAACAAACCCCCCCCAAAAAACCTCAACAAAAACCCCACAATCCAGTGCTTCCCCCTTCTATGAGGATCAACACATTTCTAATTCAAATTTACTGCTTCAACCCCTAATCCTTACCAAAAAACCTTAAGTTCCACTCCTCAAACCCTCCTTTTGTTGAGCCCAGCAGACTTAACCCTACTGAAGCAAAACAGTTCAATTTTCTCTGTCGATATTTATCACTCTTAACTTTTCAGCTCATCTCTTTGTAAGGGCCACAAGGCTAACACTGCCATTTCGAGCACCAATCCCATGAGGAAGGAGACCGAACTGCCTAAGCATCAATGTGGTCCAACATTCACCCAAAAAGACTGTGACTGCACAGAAAAACTAAGCCATTTAAAACAGTGTTAGCAAGGTGGGATGCAGCTGAAACCTCTAATGAGGTGGAGAAGCTTAAGCAGGTTCTCAGAGGAGATAAGAAGGAGCTTGGTCTGTTATTAAGGCACAGTCGCTAAACGGGTGTCCTGTGGCAGGATCTAGTCCTGCTCCTCACAAGAGAGTTGGTGTCCAGCTGTACCTGCGAAGCGAGGACCATCAAAGATCCTGTCTGTTAATGAGGTACCAGTGGAATCACAAAATCTTCTGCAAAACTTTTCAACTGCACAAAGCAAAGGCAAATAAACCTAATTTAAAAGGGTATTTGTTTATAACCCTAAACCTAGCTTTCTACCATTTTCTTCTCTGACTACGATTCCACTGATCAAGTGACATAACCACAAGCTGGAGCTTCACAGGTGCTCCAGTTATTGCAGATAAATATTGGATAATGAATTTTATATTGATGGACCATATATTTGAAGTCATAGGGTTTTTTCCCCACTGAACATCTGCAAATCAAAAACTCTTAAGCCTTCTTCTGAAGTGACACACTCAGAGTCCCCAATCACTTTACAATTAGGAGTGTTCAGATGTCCTGTGATTTTCCTAAGGACACAGAAGTAACCCAGCTGCTCCCTACCTCAACTGTCTCCTCAGTCATAGCCAGACAGTTAAATTTTATTTCTTTTTTTAAGATGGCACAGGAGTGCCATCCTGTGGCTATCAGAAGCAATCTGAAAGCTTGTTGTGTCAAACACTTTCTGATGTTGCAACACACGATTCCACACCCTGCTGTGTTCCACAGGGTTTAGGTTCATGACCTTGTTATCTTCTAATACTGCACTGCAAAAGCCTGGCTGAGGAACCCAAAGACTTTTCTTTTTTAAAAGATTAAATTACAGGGTTTTCACTTCCATCCAGGATGCCATTCTCCTAATACTCCTCAACTACCAGGGATACAGCATGTTTTCAACAGAGGTTTTCTAGGTACTGCTGTCATTAGCAAATGTAACACTAAACCTAGCCAAGAAGTGGCCCCTCTCAGGAAGACTACATTAGAAATAAACATCTCAATCTTAAATACCAACTGCATTAGCAAAGCTGCTCTACAGCAAAGCCTGCTTCTGGGAGGGGGTTTTCCTACATTTACATAGGATTTAAGACAAGAAGATGCTGTTCTTGAACACTTCTTGGAAATGGCTTAAAAAAAAAATACCTGTAAATCTTTAAACACTGTCTGATCAGTGGGGTCTGGATAGGGTAAGGAGCAAAAAAACCCTCCTTGTTCATGTAAGAGGAAGTAAAATTCCTATGCGTCCATGAATATGAATTTCTTACGCTTGAGAGTGCATTAAAATATTCCAAGGCATGTTTATCCTTAAGACATATGATTTCATAACTGTTCAACCTAAAAAATGAAGGAAAAAAGAAAGAAAAAAAAGCTCTGTACTTGAATATTGACGTAGGTTTTACCATGAAATTAATGCCTCTGGGTAGCTTAAATTGGATGCTATACCAGGAAAAAGACCAAATAATCAAACCCACTGGGTTGACATTCCTCTCATTAGTTTGGAAAATTACTTGAACAGTACCTACAGAGCCAGCACATTTACCTAGTACCCACTGTCTTTTTGTCACTGTAGTGATAAACCATTAGTAATAACCTGCAGATGCAAAACCACCTTTTGCATTTTAAAAGAATACCACCAAAAACTTCAAACACAGATGAGTCATTTTTGCAAGTTGCTCTAAAGTTGCTTGAAATATTACAGTTAAATTAAAAAAAAAATAAAAAAAAAAATAAAAAAAAAAGGAAGTGGAATAGGAAAAACTTCAGTTTCTTGTGAGATGAGGTGACTATAAAGCCTTCTCCCTTCCTTCACCGCATTAGTAGTAAGTTCTACAGTTTTATTTAGAGCAAAACTTCAGATCCAGAGCCAGATGATATTACTAAGATTGTAAAGACTGAGATTAGATGTGCCTGTATATCTTGAAGAGGCCCTGCTCAGTGTGTTATGTGCCTAATTTGAGACAACATAAGATTCCCTTTGGGCTGGTATGGTTCACTCCAGACATATGTGACCTAACTAGAGCTGTCAGCTGCTTCCACAGCACAATCCTCGCATATCCCTACATCAGGCAGACCCGCAAGCAACCATTACCAAAACTAAATACATCCCATGAACATCCCATTATTAGATCCAACAAATCCAGAAAATGTTTCAAATTCATCAACCAACTACAGCCTACTTCTGAAGTAAAAAAAAAATCTGTATTGTAAAGTAAAAAAAAATTAATCAGTATTGCTTTTCCATACCAGCATTACTGAGATAACTTAGATGCTCTTTACAGAACACATGGTCTAAGTTGTAAATCATTAATGCAAGGTAATGCAGATCTTTGTAGCATTGGCACTATTCAGCTTTATTTGCTGACTGGTTTTGGTCACCTCCTTGTGTCCACAAACTCTTTCATTTATACTAAAGCATCCTTGAGAACTTGCACTTTGTTCACTGATGACTTAAAAGCGACGGGTTTCATTAGGAGGCAAAAAAACCATGAGGTTCTGCACAGATTCAGTAAATCTCAAAGAACATTTAGCTTAGCATAGAAATTGTGAAAACATTCCAACTTCCCTTGGCTGACACTGATTAGAGAGAAAAGCATCCTATATTATTTTCTAGCACATCTTCATGAAAATTTGGCATTTAGCAGCAAAGCCAAGCTGCTCTTAGTACTGCCTTCAAGTCCGTATTACCCAAAGGAGCCGAGTCTTCATGGGCACCGACTTCCCAGAAGAAAATCAGCATATCTGCACAGATGGTTCACATCCTAATAACAGGGGAAAAAAACCCAACAACCAACCAAACAAAAACCAACAATGGGGAGAGGGAGAAGCAAAGAGAAGTACCAAAGACATGTGGGGGTTGAGAGGGAGGAATATCAAACAGAACAGTGGGAGACCCAAGCCGCAGTGAAAACATTAAACTTTCAGAGTCTGTCATTGCACACGTTCTGTAAAGCAGTTTTACAGAAAGAATGTCAATGACAGAAGAAAACTACAGCCCAGCTTCTTCTCCTCCTCTATATAACTGACAGCCATTTTAATGCAAAGGATATTCTGTATTCATTTAATTCTTTCAGCTCTTCTTCTCTTCGTTGCTTTTCTAGTAGCTCTTGCTGCCGAGAAACCTCATCAAGGAAATGTGTCTCATCTTCATCCAAGCCTCTTACCATATTTTCTGAATAAAGAAAAAGCACACATATTGATAAGCTCAAACCACTTAGGGAGCAGCCATCTATTTTGTGTTACTTTGTCATTCTCTTGAACATTTTCCGATGATTTCAAACTGCCCCATAAATGTAGGTTAAGCGTCCACAACTCGCATCTGACATTTCTAATACTGCCAAGGTAGAACAAAGTCACTGGGAACACAGGGACCAGCGCCCTGGGTGCTCCAGCAGTCACACTGTTGTGCAGAGTAAAGGGTACAAAGCAAACTCCACAAGCTATTTGCTGGATTCTGTAATTAAGGAGTAAAAATATTTCCCAGTTAATGATCCTGGATGCTAACAAGCCGAAATTCTTTCATACTCAAGCACACAAACTACAATAAACTAACAAAGTTTCAAAACAACACTATGACTACAGAGAAAAGCAAGACACAACTCATAGGAAGCCATGAAATGCTATTGGACTTGCTGATATAATTAAGGAAAATTGACAAAAAAGGAGTTTTCACACAAGCAGCCTTTCTGCAGTTCTGAAACACCAGTTGGAACCGGTTACACAAAACAAGAAATAACCACATGAAGCAATGACATATTTGTTGTTTCGGTTTCAGACACCAAGTTAAACCTGTCTCCTCAGAATCTGTTCTGAAATGAACCAATAACTGGAAAAAACACACACTTCTCCCCAAAAATCTTGCCTCAAAATAGGAAGCACATTTTCTTAAAGCAAACAATTCATAACTTCATTAACATCCATTAAAAAAACAAAAAGAAGTGGAAGCAAGACAATTCTCAACTTCCAAATCACAGAATCACAGAATGTTAGGGA